ATAACATAATACATACAACATAACATAATGCACACAACATAACCTAATACATACAACGTAACAGAATACATATAACATAACATAACATAATACATACAACATAACATAATATATACAACATAACATAATACATACAACATAACAAAATACATACAACATAACATAATACATGCAACATAACATAATACATACAACATAACATAATACATACAACATATCACAAGAAGTATCCATGTCCAGCGGAGACGATACAATTCGAATTCTCGAGACCACGCAACAGTAGACATGTGTGTGGAACTATCTGTAGGCATGTGTGTCAAACTACAGTGTGAGCATGTGTGTGGAACTATCTGTAGGCATGTGTGTGAAACTACAGTGTAAGCATGTGTGTGAAACTATCTGTAGGCATGTGTGTGAAACTATCAGTAGGCATGTGTGTGAGACTATCGGTAGACATGTGTGTGGAACTATCGGTAGACATGTGTGTGGAACTATCGGTAGACATGTGTATGGAACTATCTGTAGGCATGTGTGTGAAACTATCAGTAGGCATGTATGTGGGACTATCAGTAGACATGTGTGTGGAACTATAGGTAGACATGTGTGTGAAACTATCGGTAGACATGTGTGTGAAACTATCTGTAGGCATGTGTTTGGAACTATCTGTAGGCATGTGTGTCGAACTATCTGTAGACATGTGTGTGGGACTATCTGTAGACATGTGTGTGGAACTATCTGTAGATATGTGTGTGGAACTATCTGTAGACATGTGTGTGGAACTATCGGTAGGCATGTGTGTGGAACTATCGGTAGACATGTGTGTGGCACTATCTGCAGACATGTGTGTGGAACTATCTGTAGACATGTGTGTGGGACTATCAGTAGACATGTGTGTGGAACTATCGGTAGACATGTGTGTGAAACTATCTGTAGTCATTTGTGTGGAACTATCGGTAGGCATGTGTGTGAAACTACTATCTGTAGACATGTGTGTGGTACTATCGGTAGGCATGTGTGTGAAACTGTAGACATGTGTGTGGAACTATCGGTAGGCATGTGTGTGAAACTATCTATAGATATGTGTGTGGAACTATCGGTAGGCATGTGTGTGGAACTATCGGTAGACATGTGTGTGGAACTATTTGTAGACATATGTATGTGGAACTATCGGTAGACATGTGTGTGGATCTATCTGTAGACACGTGTGTGGAACTATCTGTAGACATGTGCGTGGAACTATAGGTAGACATGTGTGTGGAACTATCTGTAGGAACGTGTGTGAAACTATCGGTAGACATGTGTGTGGAACTATCTGTAGACACGTGTGTGAAACTATCGGTAGACATGTGTGTGGAACTATCTGTAGACAGGTGTGTGAAACTATCTGTAGACATGTGTGTGGAACTATCTGTAGACACGAGTGTGAAACTATAGGTAGACATGTGTGTGGAACTATCTGTAGACACGTGTGTGAAACTATCGGTAGACATGTGTGTGGAACTATCGGTAGACATGTGTGTGGAACTATCTGTAGACATCAGCTGCTGTAGAAATGTCTGTAGACTGACAATCAAATCTTTCTGGGTAACAGTTTAGAATCCACTAAGCCACAAAAGAGCCCTACCAGAGCGACAGACAACCCACAGGAGGCTTGATTCTTGTATGGATGGTTCTGTGTTTGTATGTATAGCTTGTTTTATGGTGTGAGGGATGTTTGTACGGATGGATTGACAATGTCTGTGTGTTCTGGTGTGAGGGTTGTACATACGGATGGCTTGGTGATGTCGGTGTGTTTTGGTGTGAGGGTTGTACATACGGATGGCTTGGTGATGTCGGTGTGTTTTGGTGTGAGGGTTGTACATACGGATGGCTTGGTGATGTCGGTGTGTTTTGGTGTGAGGGTTGTACATACGGATGGCTTGGTGATGTCGGTGTGTTTTTGGTGTGAGGGTTGTACATACGGATGGCTTGGTGATGTCGGTGTGTTTTGGTGTGAGGGTTGTACATACGGATGGCTTGGTGATGTCGGTGTGTTTTGGTGTGAGGGTTGTACATACGGATGATGTCTATGTTTCTTCTGTTCTGGTTTGAGGACTGTAAAGGTGGTTTGATGGTGTCTATGGGCGTGTGTTCTAATATAAAGGATGTCCGTACTGATATCTTGAAGATGTCAGTGCGTTCTTGTGTGAGGGATGTCCGTACTGATAGTTTGACGATGTCAGTGTGTTCTTGTGTAAGGGATGTCCGTACTGATAGCTTGACGATGTCAGTTTGTTCTTGTGTGAGGGATGTCCGTACTGATAGTTTGACGATGTCAGAGTGTTCTTGTGTGAGGGATATCCCTACTGATAGCTTGACGATGTCAGTGTGTTCTTGTGTGAGGGATGTCCGTACTGATATCTTGAAGATGTCAGTGCGTTCTTGTGTGAGGGATGTCCGTACTGATAGCTTGACGATGTCAGTGTGTTCTTGTGTGAGGGATGTCCGTACTGATAGTTTGACGATGTCAGTTTGTTCTTGTATAAGGGATGTCCGTACTGATAGCTTGACAATGTCAGTGTGTTCTTGTGTGAGGGATGTCCGTACTGATAGTTTGACGATGTCAGTGTGTTCTTGTGTGAGGGATATCCCTACTGATAGCTAGACGATGTCAGTGTGTTCTTGTGTGAGGGATATCCCTACTGATAGCTTGACGATGTCAGCGTGTTCTTGTGTGAGGGATATCCCTACTGATAGCTTGACGATGTCAGCGTATTCTTGTGTGAGGGATATCCATACTGATAGCTTGACGATGTCAGTGTGTTCTTGTGTGAGGGATGTCCGTACTGATAGTTTGACGATGTCAGTGTGTTCTTGTGTGAGGGATATCCCTACTGATAGCTTGACGATGTCAGTGTGTTCTTGTGTGAGGGATATCCCTACTGATAGCTTGACGATGTCAGTGTGTTCTTGTGTGAGGGATATCCATACTGATAGCTTGACGATGTCAGTGTGTTCTTGTGTGAGGGATATCCATACTGATAGCTTGACGATGTCAGTGTGTTCTTGTGTGAGGGATATCCCTACTGATAGCTTGACGATGTCAGTGTGTTCTTGTGTGAGGGATATCCCTACTGATAGCTTGACGATGTCAGTGTGTTCTTGTGTGAGGGATATCCCTACTGATAGCTTGACGATGTCAGTGTGTTCTTGTGTGAGGGATATCCATACTGATAGCTTGACGATGTCAGTGTGTTCTTGTGTGAGGGATATCCATACTGAAAGCTTGACGATGTCAGTGTGTTCTTGTGTGAGGGATATCCATACTGATAGCTTGACGATGTCAATGTGTTCTTGTGTGAGGGATATCCATACTGATAGCTTGACGATGTCAGTGTGTTCTTGTGTGAGGGATATCCCTACTGATAGCTTGACGATGTCAGTGTGTTCTTGTGTGAGGGATATCCCCACTGATAGCTTGACGACATTCCACAGCCGGCACTAAAACATTCCACAGCCAGCACTACAACATTGCACAGCCAGCGCTACAACATTGCACAGTCAGCACTACAACATTGCACAGCCAGCGCTACAACATTGCAGAGCCAGCGCTACAACATTGCACAGTCAGCACTACAACATTGCACAGTCAGCACTACAACATTGCACAGTCAGCACTACAACATTGCACAGCCAGCGCTACAACATTGCACAGTCAGCACTACAACATTGCAGAGCCAGCACAAAAACACCCCCCAGCCAGCATCAAAACATTTCACACCCAGTACTACAACGTAACATAATACATAAAACATAACAAAATACATACAACATAACATAATACATGCAACATAACATAATACATACAAAATAACATAATACATACAACATATCACAAGAAGTATCTATGTCCAGCGGAGACGATACAATTTTCGAATTCTCGAGACCACGCAACAGTAGACATGTATGTGGAACTATCTGTAGGCATGTGTGTGAAACTACAGTGTAAGCATGTGTGTGAAACTATCTGTAGGCATGTGTGTAAAACTATCAGTAGGCATGTGTGTGGGACTATCGGTAGACATGTGTGTGGAACTATCGGTAGACATGTGTGTGGAACTATCGGTAGACATGTGTATGGAACTATCTGTAGGCATGTGTGTGAAACTATCAGTAGGCATGTATGTGGGACTATCGGTAGACATTTGTGTGGAACTATCTGTAGGCATGTGTGTAAAACTATCAGTAGGCATGTGTGTGGGACTATCGGTAGACATGTGTGTGAAACTATCTGTAGGCATGTGTGTAAAACTATCAGTAGGCATGTGTGTGGGACTATCGGTAGACATGTGTGTGGAACTATCGGTAGACATGTGTGTGGAACTATCTGTAGACATGTGTGTGGAACTATCTGTAGACATGTGTGTGGGACTATCAGAAGACATGTGTGTGGAACTATCGGTAGACATGTGTGTGAAACTATCTGTAGTCATGTGTGTGGAACTATCGGTAGGCATGTGTGTAAACTACTATCTGTAGACATGTGTGTGGTACTATCGGTAGGCATGTGTGTGAAACTGTAGACATGTGTGTGGAACTATCGGTAGGCATGTGTGTGAAACTATCTGTAGACATGTGTGTAGAACTATCGGTAGGCATGTGTGTGGAACTATCGGTAGACATGTGTGTAGAACTATCTGTAGACATGTGTATGTGGAACTATCGGTAGACATGTGTGTGGATCTATCTGTAGACATGTGTGTGGAACTATCGGTAGACATGTGTGTGGATCTATCTGTAGACATGTGTGTGGAACTATAGGTAGACATGTGTGTGGAACTATCTGTAGACACGTGTGTGGAACTATCTGTAGACATGTGTGTGGAACTATCTGTAGACACGTGCGTGGAACTATAGGTAGACATGTGTGTGGAACTATAGGTAGACACGTGTGTGAAACCATCGGTAGACATGTGTGTGGAACTATCGGTAGACATGTGTGTGGAACTATCTGTAGACACGTGCGTGGAACTATAGGTAGACACGTGTGTGAAACTATAGGTAGACATGTGTGTGAAACTATCGGTAGACATGTGTGTGGAACTATAGGTAGACACGTGCGTGGAACTATAGGTAGACATGTGTGTGAAACTATCGGTAGACATGTGTGTGGAACTATAGGCAGACATGTGTGTGGAACTATCTGTAGACATGTGTGTGGAACTATAGGTAGACATGTGTGTGGAACTATAGGTAGACATGTGTGTGGAACTATAGGTAGACATGTGTGTGAAACTATCGGTAGACATGTGTGTGAAACTATCGGTAGACATGTGTGTGGAACTATCTGTAGACATGTGTGTGGAACTATAGGTAGACATGTGTGTGGAACTATCTGTATACACGTGCGTGGAACTATAGGTAGACACGTGTGTGAAACTATAGGTAGACACGTGAGTGAAACTATAGGTAAACATGTGTGTGAAACTATCGGTAGACATGTGTGTGGAACTATCGGTAGACATGTGTGTGGAACTATAAGTAGACATGTGTGTGGAACTATCTGTATACACGTGCGTGGAACTATAGGTAGACACGTGTGTGAAACTATAGGTAGACATGTGTGTGAAACTATCGGTAGACATGTGTGTGGAACTATCGGTAGACATGTGTGTGGAACTATAGGTAGACACGTGCGTGGAACTATAGGTAGACACGTGTGTGAAACTATAGGTAGACATGTGTGTGGAACTATCGGTAGACATGTGTGTGGAACTATCTGTAGACATATGTGTGGAACTATCGGTAGACATGTGTGTGGAACTATAGGTAGACACGTGCGTGGAACTATAGGTAGACACGTGTGTGAAACTATAGGTAGACATGTGTGTGGAACTATAGGTAGACACGTGTGTGAAACTATCGGTAGACATGTGTGTGGAACTATCGGTAGACATGTGTGTGGAACTATCTGTAGACATCAGCTGCTGTAGAAATGTCTGTAGACTGACAATCAAATCTTTCTGGGTAACAGTTTAGAATTCACTTAGCCACAAAAGGGCCCTACCAGAGCGACAGACAACCCACAGGAGGCTTGATTCTTCTATGGATGGTTCTGTGTTTGTATGTATAGCTTGTTTTATGGTGTGAGGGATGTTTGTACGGATGGATTGACAATGTCTGTGTGTTCTGGTGTGAGGGTTGTACATACGGATGGCTTGGTGATGTCGGTGTGTTTTGGTGTGAGGGTTGTACATACGGATGGCTTGGTGACGTCGGTGTGTTTTGGTGTGAGGGTTGTACATACGGATGGCTTGGTGATGTCGGTGTGTTTTGGTGCGAGGGTTGTACATACGGATGATGTCTATGTGGCTTCTGTTCTGGTTTGAGGACTGTCTGTAAAGGTGGTTTGATGGTGTCTATGGGCGTGTGTTCTAATATAAAGGATGTCCGTACTGATAGCTTGAAGATGTCAGTGTGTTCTTGTGTGAGGGATGTCCGTACTGATAGTTTGACGATGTCAGTGTGTTCTTGTGTAAGGGATGTCCGTACTGATAGCTTGACGATGTCAGTGTGTTCTTGTGTGAGGGATATCCATACTGATAGCTTGACGATGTCAGCGTGTTCTTGTGTGAGGGATATCCCTACTGATAGCTTGACGATGTCAGCGTGTTCTTGTGTGAGGGATATCCATACTGATAGCTTGACGATGTCAGCGTGTTCTTGTGTGGGGGATATCCCTACTGATAGCTTGACGATGTCAGCGTGTTCTTGTGTGAGGGATATCCATACTGATAGCTTGACGATGTCAGTGTGTTCTTGTGTGAGGGATATCCCTACTGATAGCTTGACGAATGTCCAGTGTTGTTCTTGTGTGAGGGATATCCCTACTGATAGCTTGACGATGTCAGTGTGTTCTTGTGTGAGGAATATCCATACTGATAGCTTGACGATGTCAGTGTGTTCTTGTGTGAGGAATATCCATACTGATAGCTTGACGATGTCAGTGTGTTCTTGTGTGAGGAATATCCCTACTGATAGCTTGACGATGTCAGTGTGTTCTTGTGTGAGGGATATCCATACTGATAGCTTGACGATGTCAGTGTGTTCTTGTGTGACGGATATCCCTACTGATAGCTTGACGATGTCAGTGTGTTCTTGTGTGAGGGATATCCATACTGATAGCTTGACGATGTCAGTGTGTTCTTGTGTGAGGGATATCCATACTGATAGCTTGACGATGTCAGTGTGTTCTTGTGTGACGGATATCCCTACTGATAGCTTGACGATGTCAGTGTGTTCTTGTGTGAGGGATATCCCTACTGATAGCTTGACGACATTCCACAGCCAGCACTAAAACATTCCACAGCCAGCACTAAAACATTGCACAGCCAGCGCTACAACATTGCACAGTCAGCACTACAACATTGCACAGTCAGCACTACAACATTGCACAGTCAGCACTACAACATTGCACAGTCAGCACTACAACATTGCACAGTCAGCACTACAACATTGCACAGTCAGCACTACAACATTGCACAGTCAGCACTACAACATTGCACAGTCAGCACTACAACATTGCACAGTCAGCACTACAACATTGCACAGCCAGCACTAAAACAATCCCCAGCCAGAACTACGACATTCCCCAGCCAGAACTACAACATTCCCCAGCCATAACTACAACATTCCCCAGCCAGAACTAAGATATTCTACCGATAGTACCACGCAAATGACGGACACAAACACTCACCTAGTGACGACTGACCGACGCAAACACTCACCTAGTGACGACTGACGGACACAAGCACTCACCTAGTGACGACTGACGGACACAAACACTCACCTAGTGACGACTGACGGACACAAACACTCACCTAGTGACGACTGACGGACACAAACACTCACCCAGTGACGACTGACCGACGCAAACACTCACCTAGTGACGTCTGACGGACACATTCACTCACCTAGTGACGACTGACGGACACAAACACTCACCTAGTGACGACTGACGGACACAAACAGTCACCTAGTGACGACTGACGGACACAAACAGTCACCTAGTGACGACTGACGGACACAAACACTCACCTAGTGACGACTGACGGACACATTCACTCACCTAGTGGCGACTGACGGACACAAACACTCACCTAGTGACGGCTGACGGACACAAACACTCACCTAGTGACGACTGACGGACACAAACACTCACCTAGTGACGACTGACGGACACAAACAGTCACCTAGTGACGACTGACGGACACAAGCACTCACCTAGTGACGACTGACGGACACAAACACTCACTTAGTGACGACTGACGGACACAAACACTCACTTAGTGACGACTGACGGACACAAACACTCACTTAGTGACGACTGACGGACACAAACACTCACTTAGTGACGACTGACGGACACAAACACTCACTTAGTGACGACTGACGGACACAAACACTCACTTAGTGACGACTGACGGACACAAACACTCACTTAGTGACGACTGACGGACACAAGCACTCACTTAGTGACGACTGACGGACACAAGCACTCACTTAGTGACGACTGACGGACACAAACACTCACTTAGTGACGACTGACGGACACAAACACTCACTTAGTGACGACTGACGGACACAAACACTCACTTAGTGACGACTGACGGACACAAACACTCACTTAGTGACGACTGACGGACACAAACACTCACTTAGTGACGACTGACGGACACAAACACTCACTTAGTGACGACTGACGGACACAAACACTCACTTAGTGACGACTGACGGACACAAGCACTCACCTAGTGACGACTGACGGACACAAACACTCACTTAGTGACGACTGACGGACACAAACACTCACTTAGTGACGACTGACGGACACAAACACTCACTTAGTGACGACTGACGGACACAAACACTCACCTAGTGACGACTGACGGACACAAACACTCACCTAGTGACGACTGACGGACACAAACAGTCACCTAGTGACGACTGACGGACACATTCACTCACCTAGTGACGACTGACGGACACAAGCACTCACCTAGTAATGGCAATGTCCGCCTTCTGCAGCGCTATCTGTGCTGCCCTCTGCGCTGACAGTACTGCGTTATCCACCCGCTCTCGAAGCTTGGAAGTCCGAATAAGAAACAATTTATTTTTCTTTCCCGACGAAATCAAGACATTATTCTTGTACTTGCCCTCTTCCTTGGTGCCGTCCTTGAAGGAAGTCACCCCGTAGCCATACTTGCGGTTGTTGTACCACTCGCCCTCGTACTTGAGGCCGTCCGAGCGCTCGCTGACCCCGAAGCCGGACCGCTTGTCGTTCTTCCACTCGCCCATGTAAGTCTCTGTCACGTTAACGTCAGTGATGTCATCCTGGCTGACGAAGCTGAGGTTGCTGTCCGTGTAGGTCGAGGTCGTGGTCACGCCTGACTGGCTGGAGTCGGCGCTGACGTGGCTGATGCTGGAGATGGTCGACCGAACAGAGCCCGTTTGGCGTTTCGGCGAGTCGTTGATGTCTCCAGTGCTCTTTTGCTTCTTCAGCTTCAGACCTGACATCAGCGTCTTGCGGAGACTGGTCCGACCTTGCTTGTCGAAGATTGACCTTCTCCTGGCCGGTGGAGTCTCGTCAGACTTTGCCTTCAACACGAAGCCACCCCGACTCTCATCCAGCTTCTTGTCACGTGACTTCACCACCAGTTCATCCTCGTTCTCGGAGCGGAGCGAGGTCAGGGAGGCTCGCATGGCCTTGGGTCGGTAGTGGGAGGCCAGACCGTAGGGCACGCTCTGTCGGACGCCATAACCATGGCGGGTTCCTCGATACCACTGTCCTTGGTAGGTACCTGCGGGAGACGAGGCAGTCCAGACATTTAATTCTCTTTCACAAAAAGTAAATTGATCTAGTGTGAACAGTAATGGGAGACGTAAGGTAAAATACTCGATCTTGTTTTTTACAACTGCAAAAGACGGACAGGCAGACTCGAGCAACTAGTACAGAGGGAAGGTGTTTCATAGCCAACAGGACCATGCAACATGTGCTAGAGCGCTAAATCAAGTCCAAGCCTTGTCTCGGTACACGACCATGTAGAGTGAGAGGAGAGCACTGAATCAAGTCCAGGCCTTGTCTCGGTACACGACCATGTAGAGTGAGAGGAGAGCACTGACTCAAGTCCAGGCCTTGTCTCGGTACACGACCATGTAGAGTGAGAGGAGAGCACTGAATCAAGTCCAGGCCTTGTCTCGGAACACGACCATGTAGAGTGAGAGGAGAGCGCTGAATCAAGTCCAGGCCTTGTCTCGGTACACGACCATTGGAGTGAGAGGACTTCAATACTCAACAATATAGACTTCAATACTCAACAATATAGACTTCAATACTCAACAATATAGACTTCAATACTCAACAATATCGACTTCAATACTCAGCAATATCGACTTCAATACTCAACAATATCGACTTCAATACTCAACAATATCGACTTCAATACTCAACAATATCGACTTCAATACTCAACAATATCGACTTCAATACTCAACAATATCGACTTCAATACTCAACAATATCGACTTCAATACTCAGCAATATCGACTTCAATACTCAACAATATCGACTTCAATACTCAACAATATCGACTTCAATACTCAACAATATCGACTTCAATACTCAACAATATCGACTTCAATACTCAACAATATCGACTTCAATACTCAACAATATCGACTTCAATACTCAACAATATCGACTTCAATACTCAACAATATCGACTTCAATACTCAGCAATATCGACTTCAATACTCAACAATATCGACTTCAATACTCAACAATATCGACTTCAATACTCAACAATATCGACTTCAATACTCAGCAATATCGACTTCAATACTCAGCAATATCGACTTCAATACTCAACAATATCGACTTCAATACTCAGCAATATCGACTTCAATACTCAACAATATCGACTTCAATACTCAGCAATAT